AACTAGCTATAAGGAAGGATGTGCAACTTGGTTGCTGGGATTTAGAAACAAGTGTGTGCTCCATGACAGAATTCAGTTACCCAAATCAGGCCCATAAGATGGCAATGGTTCACGGCTAGAGTGAGGAATATCAGAGACGCGAATGATCCAGACTACATTTCAACAGCTGTGGGATGAACCGCGGGATCTGGTGTGCCCCGAGCCAGGAGACCCTGGATGCTACACCCTCATTCCTATTGACCCAGGAGCTGAAGCTTGATTTTAGAAACATAATCAACATTGGGTATTACAAAAACATGAAGATGAACTTTTTTGCCACAGAAATGAGATAAACTATACAGTGCTACAACTGTGCAAAATTAGCACAGAAGCCAATCTGAAAACAGCAAATACTTAACAGTAGCTTTAATGAATTAATGCACAATATGTTGAAAAATGTTACCTTTGACCTTGCTCATAGCAGACGTCTGCCTTCTAGAAACACCCCGTGTCTGCCGTGATTCTGAGCGAAACAGCAAGACCGACTCAAGACAATCGCTGCCTTTGGGGTTGAAACCCAGGCGCGAGGCTGCCCTTTGCGGGATTTCCGGAAGACTTCTAGACCTTATGTACATACAGACTCTTATAAGACTGTAGATACACGGTCCTCTTACCCCTAAGATGGCTCCCTGGGACCCGATCATGGGCACCCCCAAATGGGGTTACCATTGGAGGCCGACTGGCTGCCTAGCCAGTGTGATGTATAGCGGGGAAGGAGTGAGGTGTGCGGTCTTGCTCAGGTCCCAGGAGCTGAAACCCCAGCCCTTCCTTTGCCATCAGTTCTGTGCCAAGGTCAGAAGATGCTTCTGGAGTGCAGGGCCTCTCCAGCATGGGCGCTGCAGCTCACATAGGAGCTTGGCGGAGGAACGAAGTATGGATCCTGGGGGTGGCTTGGAGAGAGGAGGGGAAGAGAGAACACAGCTGGGCCTCCCTGTGAGGGGCCAGATGGAGTTGCAGCCCCATGGGGGCTTGAGCAGGTGGGGTGGGAAGGCCGAGGCCCAGAACCCCATGACTTGGTCCTCAGGGTGGGCACATCGTCCCATGCAGAACCAAGAGAGGCAGCCACGGCTCACCGGGGCCACAAAGCCCTGGCTTAGGGTGTTAGGAAATAAGCCGCCTCCGGAAGGCAGAGCTGCCGCGCATCAACGAGGCAGGCTGGTGGGCTTCCCTCCCGTTTCCAACCCTGGGTTGTGATCACTGGCCCCAGTGCCTGTTAGTTGCATCAGCTACAGCCATGCTATCAATCTTCCTGGTGTAAATGACTTTTGGGCGACTCTGGTTTTAAAGCACAGTTACCTGCCATGGTTCTTAAATAATTAAATGGTTATCAAATAATTCACCTTAATAAGCTCCAAGGTATAAAGCAGGGCCAAGGGCTGTTATAGACCCAGTCCACATTCCTCCTCTTCCTCGATCTTGCAAGATGGCACCTTCGCTTACTCCACTGGATGATCCCTTTTCCAGCCAGCAGGTAACTAGATGCAACTGGTGACTGGATGTGAGGATGGCTGTGGCCACCACGGCGTGTAAGAACTTCCGTGAAAGTGTCTTCCTCCACCAGGGCGTGCCAGTAGAGAAATGCTGGGGGCTTTGAACCTCAGCTCCACACTCTACAATAGCTTGCCAGCAACGTGAGTGGAGTATACTGCTAAGTGCGAATCAAAGAAGCTGGAATTTCAGAGTGATTCCAGAAAGAGTGGCGGAGAAGGCTCTGTCTCAGGTCAGGAGTGCAGGGCTGGGCTAGGTTTCTAGCAGCCTTTAACCTCCCTTCCTGCAAGCGTTTGTTCTCTTTCAAGGAGGGAATCCAGTGATGCTCTGTTTCAGTCAGAGCAGGCCATGGAGAGAAGCATTCGGCGAGGATTCTTCCTCCGAGCAGAGGTGGTCCCAGAAATCCCTTGAGAGACAGGCAGGCCCCCTGGTTCCTCTCGGAATGCAGGAGGGACTTCCTTTCTCAGATGCTGACCCTTTCTCAGATGCTGACTTTGGAAACCCCCGAGTAATCTTCCTGGATGAAGGAGACAGACGTGAGTTGCGAGGGTTCATTTCCGCAGGGGTGTCTTTGCCACTGATGGGCCATGGGCTGAGTCAGCCCTTGGAATTGAATCCACGCTGAGAGGCAGGTGACGACACATTTAAAGGGCATGCAATTTGGGCACCAGGTTCCAGCCACAATCCTGCTAGCCCTGGGTGTTGCCACAGCCCGTTTCTCCAGGAACTGGGAACCCTGCCAGTTGTCTCTGTTGCCTGAAGTTCATCCCACCACATTAGAGAGCAGGATAGGGGTGTTTTGAGCAGCAGGGTGAACTCAATCATTGCAGAACATTCTACGGGATTCCAAAGGGAAGGGCTTCGAGGAGCTGCTGCCATGCACCAGTCACTAGCATTTCTGAACAAAAATGAGGGGAGATGGTCTGGATCTGGGAGATGACTGTAGGGTCAGTGCATGATCATGGGAGAGGCACCAGGAACAGGCAGGTGGGATGGTCCCCACGTAGCTCCCAGGAACATGCTGTCCGCATTTGGGAGAGGAGGGCAGGTTTTCTGTGAATAGTGAAGCTTTAGAAAAGGGGGAGGCGGAGTTTCTGCCACCCACTCAGTATCAGCTGAGAGCATACTTGTTTCTCACGGGTTAGTATCTGTCAGCGCTGGGGGACTGACTTTGCATTGTTTTTTGACATCATGTGCAGAATGTCCAAAGTGCTTCCTGGTGGGGTATCTGGAGAAGAGGGCAAGACCTGATTCACATCCTGTGTTTCGGGGGCAGGTGTCAGAAAAGGTGCGGGTCATAAGCCTGGGCCCAGGAGGATGTCGGAGATGGGGAGGTTCCTTTCTGTATCCAGCAGAGAACAGGGAGATAACCTCCAGGGCAAGTTCCCTTGCTTAGGGAGGCACTTCTGAGACCATCTCTCAGCTGGCAGCAAACAGTTACTTCAAAATGAATGATGTGGCATAAAACCAACTAGAGGGGCCATGACAGACGGCAGCTTGAGCCAGATGGCACCTTGAGCTTTTAGACAGTCCCTGCCTCAGTCCGTGAGGGCACTCAGAGTTGCCAGCCACGTGGGCTGATGTGCACTCCAGCCCTGGAATTTCCAATAAAGCATGTGTATTGGCCAGGCGCAGTGGCTGACGCCTGTAATCCCAGCACTTTGGGAGGCCGAGACGGATCACGAGGTCAGGAGATCAAGACCATCCTGGCGAACACGGTGAAACCCCGTCTCTACTAACAATACAAATCTACTAAAAATACAAAAAAATTAGCTAGGTGAGGTGGTGGACGCCTGTAGTCCCAGCTTCTCGGGAGGCTGAGGCAGGAGAATGGTGTGGACCCGGGAGGCGATGGAGCTTGCAGTGAGTAGACATCGCACCACTGCACTCCAGCCTGGGCAACAAAAACGAGACTCCGTCTCAAAAAAAGCATGTGTATTGCAGCAACGTTGGCAGGTGGGTGAGAGAGAGACCAGGTTGCCTTTCCGGGATGTCTCAGGTCCTCCAGACTTGCAAACTGACTGCAGGGTCCCCACTTCCGTGCACACTCCGGCTCATTGAGTCTCACCAGGGCATGGCTTACCTGGTCCAAGGTCCCCTAAGAACTCATGTAGGCCTCGGTTTCTCTGAGGGGCTGTGTGTGAGTGAGCTCAGCCTTAAAGGCCATGAACAATCTTCCTCCTCACTACGAGGGGAACGCACAGCATAAACCTTCCAGATGATTCTCCAGAGATTTTCTCGAGCCAGGAAATACTCCATGTTCAGGTAGGCCATACACATTTTAAGCCACTGAGTTGAAGGAGTTCCAGGACAAGCCCATGGCTTGCCATCTAACTCGCCTTTCACCTGCTTCTGTCCTTAGGTTCCACTGCGTCTCCGCCTCAGGTTAAGGCGGAACGCACTGACTTACTGCATAGTGCATTTCACGACCACCACCTTGGTTATTTTACCCCAGAAATCCAAACTGCCTCAACGGTGCTGAGCCTGTGAGGACAGCCCTCGTCCTGCGAGGGGCTCTGATGTGAGCTCACTGGAGGAGGAGCCCCAGGGGCCGCCCAGTTACTGGTCCCCATCCTCTGCTCCACCTGCCAAGGCTCCCTGTACTCTGAGAGCCATCCTGGCGTGGAAGGAACAAGAGGACTCCATCTTAGGGGATGCAGAGTTCTGTTCCCACGGACCATGGTAGCTGGGCAGACGGGGGATGGAAAATGTCTTTAGGGGAGAGAGACATCTGTTCAGTCTCCATGCTGTGTCCAAGTTCACAGACTTGGAGCCTGGTTTGAAAACCATGGAACCTTCTGCAGTGGTTTCCTGAGCCAAGTCTCTCATGACTGTGAGGCCAAGGCCACTTTGGAGAAGCTGGATGACAAGGGGTTACCAAGCTGCTGTTGATGACTGAGTCAGATGTCCAAGTCCCCCTTCCAAGCCTGGTGAGGGCCTTGGTGGCCTCAGGCTCCTGAGGGCACACTGGTCCTTCCTGAAGCCAGCCATAGGGGGAGGTAGGGAAGTTCTCTGAACTCAAATATCACTAATGGCTCCTTGCCAAGGCCACAGGAATATCCCTTGGGAAAAGTGAGCTGTGACACGGCTGGGTGTCTAATGACCACTGGTGGAGAATGCAGTGAAAGGAACCAGATCCCCTCCCCCTTGCCAATCCCAGGCATCCCTACCTTGGGCCAGGCAATAACCTTAAACAGCAAAATGAGTCTAACAGTCATTCTAGGCCCCGTGTGGGAAAGAGTGGAGACGCTGGCTCTGCAGGTACCTTCCTGCATAGGGGATAAGCTGTGCATCTCACCCAGGGGGCACCAAGCCTGACCTGGTGCCCACCCTCCTGCCAGCTCTGAACTGCTGGGAGGTGAACGAACAGCCCCTGCAGCCCAGGGCAGACCCCAGGAGCAGAAGGACCGCGTGTTGCAGTCTGTCCAGCGCGACACCACCTTGCTCTCTGGGGTCAGGGACCATGTGGCTCCAAGACTGACCAGTTTAATCAGGGTGTCATTTAACTGGTGGGGATCGTGTGCTCTCAGGGTCACCGGGTGGACGTGGTCGTCACGCCGAGGTGAGGGGCCAGCGGCAGTGGCTGGGGTGGAGGCAGCTGGCGCGACGCGTAGGGCCTGTGGCTGGGGTTCCATCGAGGTTAGAGGTCGCCGCTCTGGGGCTCCACGTTTCGCGTCTCCCGGGGCTGACCTCGGGACAGTTTGGGGAAGCGGGAAGCCGCTTTGGGCCGGCTGTTCTTGTTCCCAGGCTCTCCGGGCGGGGCGATGTCGCTGGAAGAGCAGAGAATCAGGTTAAGTTTGAGGGTTCAGACGCAAATGACCACGGGCCGGTAAGGGAGCCAGGTGTGTGGGCAGCAGGAGGGATGTGGTTGGGGACTGTGGGCCGGCTCATTGGAGCAGCCTCTGAGTGGTAAGTGCTATCTGGAGAAACAAGAATCCCGTATTGTCACATACACTTTCTTTTAAAAGCACTCTGAGGCTGCAACCAAGCTTGGCTGTGAGTCAGAGCTGGCTCATGGTACCACTGTTCCGGCTGCATTTTAAGGCTATGAAAGAATGTTCTAGGCATAGCTTTCTTCCCCCCGTTTTCCTTCATCTTCCAGCACAGGTACAGTTCCAAGTCGAAGGCGACTTTGGAGAACACTGTAAAGTCATAAAAGATGTGTAGCAAAACAAAGCAGAGGCACTTCCTGTGGAATTGATCCTAAGAAAATAATCAGGCCCTAGGCCCTGGTCCAGTGATAAGGTCGTTGGGCATGGTACTGCGTTTAAGAGCCAGGAACAGCGGAAGATACCAAGAGGGGGACACCGATCCTGGTTCTGAAGCAACACACAGCAGCACAGCATGTGTGGGTCCCAGGGCACGGGTCTGGGTTGGGAGGCCTTCAGCACGCTTTTGAGGGGACAGGGTAGAGGCCGGGAGGCTGCACCCTGAGAGTGGAGGGGGCTCAGCAGGAAGTCCCGTGTTGCAGTTGCATTTTTAAACTATATTTTCTTGGGACAGAGTCTCAAGGCTGTTGCCCGGGTTAGAGTGCAATGGTGCAGGCATAGCTCACTGCAGCCTTGATCTCCTGGGCTCAAGCGATCCTCCCACCTCAGCTGCCTGAGAAGCTGGGACTGTAGGTACTAGCTGCCATGCCTGGCTAATTTTTTAAACTTTTTGTACAGATGGAGTCTTGCTCTGTTGCTCAGGCTGGTCTCAAGTGATCCTCATGCTCAACCTCCCAAAGTGCTGGGATTACAGGTGTGAGCCACTGTGCCTGGCCGATCCTTAACCACACTTGTAAAGTCCCTTTTGCTAGCTAAGGGGACACGTAAAATCGCGGTCCGGGAATGTTCTGTCGACCGTAGGCTATTTGAATACGAAGTAAACATCACCAGGACACAGCAGCTGATAAGAGTGATCTCTAAGTGTTAAGATTACAGATGTTAAAAAACAGACATAAGAAAAATTGTCTACAGTAAATATCTCACTGGGACAAATTGCTTTAAAACAAAAGACAAAAACCTACTACGATTAGTGTTCACTCCTGCATCTTGAGCACCTCTGTGCTGTCGTAGCTTTCTGGACGTGAGCTCTCTGGACCCTACGAGTGAAGACAGGACCCTGTCCACAGCTAGCTCCGCCCTATTTGTGCCTCAGGGAGGACAAGGGCCATGTAGCCAGTAAGTGTCAGATCAGGATCATCCACCCCCAGCTGTCTCCAAGCCCAGTTTCACACACCACATGAGTTAAGGGGAGACTTGTGTTCATACAGAAACCCGTTCCCCCAGAGGGTCCCTGCAGGGTTCCCTGAAATAGCCCAATGTGTCTTCATGCATCTCGGGACTGATTCTCTTTACGATGATCTGGTTTGCATTGCACCATTCCAGGGACACAGCAACTGTGCGAGTGAAATGCCTCCTGTTTCAAGTTTGACACCCTGATAAGCGAACAAAATGAAGACCCCTTTTAATGATTGCCTTCTCATCCTGTAAGTCAAGTTGGGCTTTGCCTTCTGTGCATGGATGAAAAAAACATTTGACCTTGAACAAAGCTGGAGATGCTCTGAATCATCTCTGAGCCGGTCCAGCCTGGTGTGTGCCGCCCGTTCCTCCTTTAGGTGGGCGTCTGGCCGCAGGCCCAAAGCAAACATGCCCCTGTTACTTCTAAAAGCTGACCCGCCTTACCAGAAGGCTCTTTATCCCTGGCCCCTGCTGAGAGGACGCTTTGAAGACGCTGGAAGGAGGTCTTTGCTCACAGTGTAGGGGGACTGATTCTTAGATACAGGAAGGCTTGGATATCAATGTGAGTTTAAAGCGATGCCCTCACAATCCCCTCCTGTCACGCTGTTCAGATCCAGGGTCCGACCAGCCACTCCTTAGCCTGCACCTACGGCCATCAGTCAGCACAGCCAGGACGAACCTGGCCTGCAATGACCAGAGCCTGGGGAGAAGCCCTGGAAGTAACGGGCTCAGAGTGGTTGGGAGAGGCCAGTGCCTTGCCGGTTGTGAGAGAAGAGGTACCAGTTGGTGGGGCAAGGGTGCTTTTATAACGAACCGTGCCTGCCATGCAGGGGGTGGAGAGAGGGTGGGGCTCTGAGGCAGATGCCTTTGTTCAGTCCTATTGTGGATGGTGCTGTCTGAGCCTTGGTTTCCTTGTCATTTGGTGATGCCAACCGTGAGCACATCGTAGTGCTGTGGTGGGGATTCGAGGGCTAGCTGTGTTTCTGTAGGCAAATGCCTGCTGAGTCTTGGACAGAATAAAGGCGGGGTGGTTTTAAGCATCATGGGGATCCAGTGCCTAGAGTGACAATGACTAGGCAGCATTGAACATTCAAACACACATGGGCTGTGCCACTAGACACCATGCTGGGCACGAAGGGGTGCAGAAGTTGCTTTGGGCTTGGAGAGCCAGTCTCATTGAAGATGGGGAGGGCAGACCATGGATAGATCGCTGTGGTAGAAGCATGGGGCGGGGGGAATGCCCCAATGAGGGGGAACCCAGGTGGTTCGCAGCAGGACACAGAGGGCTTCCTGGAGGAGGTAGAGGTGTGGAGGATGAGCAGGAGTGAGCTGAAGATCACTGTCCATAAGGGCCCTCTAGCGGTGAAGATGAGCACAGGTGAAGTGGTGGGCCCGTGAGGAGGGGTGGACTTGTAAACCTGGCAGACCTGGCCCAGCTGCTTCCTCTGCCTGGAAGGCAGGGTTAGCTCGGGGCGTGCACTTGACCTGTCATGGGGCTGTGTTTGTCCTGATGTCCGTACCTGGCAACTGGGGACTCCCAGTGAGTGTTGGCTGCTGTCATTGACAGTGGGGCTCGTGTGACATGCGGATGGTTCAATCCTCCAGGCCCTGTGGAACAGAGCCATGTCTTGGGACACAGGCTTGGTGGGTGGTGAGACAGGTGGACCCAGGTGGGCTGGAGGCAGGGCTGCTATGATGGCTTCTGAGAACCCAGGGTGAGGATGGGCAGTCGAGGCAGTGGGACGATGGGCTTCACTTGGGACAAGTTAAGAAGATGATACCTACAGAAATCTGCCTGGAACAGGGGCTTCAGTGAGCATGTGACGGACGGAAAACCCAGACTGCTGAGCACAGTGGGCTTGAGCGGAGAGTGCTGGTGGCCGCTGGCATATGAGGCTGAACCTCTTGCAACCGCTATCTTTGTAGGTCGAGAATAGCCTAATACTGGTAATGGTGTCTGGCTGAACAGCAGGATCTGAAGGTGTGGGGTGGGTGCGACTAGCATTGTGTGAACTGGGGAAGGAAGCAGGATGATGTGGATAGAAGAGACAGGGCCAACAGCGAGAAGGGAAGGAGACCCCACATTCCCCCACTGGGTCCCTCCCCTACAGAGGAGATATGAGGCCAGTGCCATGCTCACTCCAGGACTGGCATCCGAAAATAGAGATAGGGGCTGTAGTCAGATGGTTTCCAGCGAGGCTGAAAGGCCTTGCATTTACAATGGCAGCCTTAAAGAAGATCCATTGATTTTTTTTTCCCCTCCTTTAAAACCAAGGCTCCCTCCAGCCCCTGTTGCAGATGCCTCCTCCCGACAGCATCCTCACAGTGAAATTCTCATCCCTCATAGCCCTTGTTAGCTGCCGACTTACCTACTGTACCACTAAGATTTCCAGAATGACGGCACCATTTCTTACCCGGCTCCACTGACAGAAGCCAGCCACCACGAAGCAGACTGTCTCTTGTCTGGCATGACTGCATTTTTATAACAAAGTGGGCTTGCAGCTCTGGGGCCTAAGCGAGAGACGAATGCATGGACAAGTGACGTTCCGTTCCTGCTCCCAGCAGGGACTCTGTTAATGCTGGGGCTAGGTCTGTTCCAGTTTTGCAAACAAGAAAAAGGGAGTCTGGATGGCAATCCCTAAGAATGAATTGCCAAAGGCCTTAAATCCATATTCAGAGTCAGAAAACTTGGGTTCCTTTTGTTACACACTATAGACCTTAGAGAAAGATCCATAACCTCTGCAAGACACAGCTTTCTGATGTGTGAAGTGAGGATAATAGTGCCAATCATACATCATTCAATGCATATGTATGCGGTTGGCAATAATTAGAAATAGATATGGCTCTTTTGACATGCTGAAATAACTGAAATAAAAAGGTAAGAGCACCACTAAAGTCTGGCCAGCAAATTCATGGCAACTTCTACTGGTAGAAGCATCTAATACAGCAAAGGAACTGGGTATAGGCTTTTATTCTCTTCTAGAGATGGGGGTGTCCCTGTGGGGCCCAGGATGGTCTCAAACTGCTGGGTTCAAGCGATCTTCTCATCTCAGCCTCCCAAGTGCTTGGGATTACAGGCGTGAGCCATCATACCCAGCCAAGGAGGCGTTTACAATCTCCCACAATACAGCATACTTCCCAAGCCCTCCTATTCCCAGTGCAACCCCTCAACTCCCTGCCCTGGGGGAAGGGGCCTGGAGGGAGCAGATGGAACCTTCTCTGAAGTGCCCATCCTCGTCTTTCTGGAACAAGATCAACATCTAGGCATTGCAGGTCTTTTGCTGCCTGGTCCCGACACAGCAGACGCCTTAGAGGGCTACGTGGAGGGGGAGAGATGGATATTCAGCAGGGATATTTACGGACAGCCTGAAGAAATAAAAGGCAGTGAGCAAACGGGTGGGGGTTCCAGTCTTGAGACAGCTTGGCAAATGAGGGTGGGGAAACTGTGGCCGTTCTGTAAAGAATGAGAGTGCCATCTCTGGCATTCTTCATATTCCTCTTAGCTGGGACCAGAGCCCATCAGGAGCTCTGGAGAATTCAAGAGA